CGAATATTAGTTGACCATAAAGTTCAGGGTCCACTTCTGGGTTCTCTATTCTGTTCCATTGTCTATGTGTCTGTTTTTGTGCCAGTACCACACTGTCTTGATGACCACAGCTTTGTAGTACAACCTGAAATCTGGCATTGTGATGCCCCCAGATATGGTTTTCTTTTTTAAAATTCCCCTGGCTATTCGGGGTCTTTTCTGATTCCACACAAATCTTAAAATAATTTGTTCTAACTCTCTGAAGAAAGTCCATGGTATTTTGATAGGGATTGCATTAAACGTGTAAATTGCCCTGGGTAACATTGACATTTTCACAATATTAATTCTGCCAATCCAGGAGCATGGAATATTTTTCCATCTCTTTGTGTCTTCCTCAATTTCTTTCAGAAGTGTTCTATAGTTTTTGGGGTATAGATCCTTTACCTCTTTGGTTAGGTTTATTCCTAGGTACCTTATGCTTTTGGGTGCAATCTTAAATGGGATTGACTCCTTAATTTCTCTTTCTTCAGTCTCATTGTTAGTGTATAGAAATGCCATTGATTTCTGGGCATTGATTTTGTATCCTGCCACGCTACCAAATTGCTGTATGAGTTCTAGCAATCTTGGGGTGGAGGCTTTTGGGTTTTCTATGTAGAGTATCATGTCATCGGCGAAGAGGGAGAGTTTGACTTCTTCTTTGCCAATTTGAATGCCTTTAATGTCTTTTTGTTGTCTGATTGCTGAGGCTAGGACTTCCAGTACTATGTTGAATAGCAGTGGTGAGAGTGGACATCCCTGTCTTGTTCCTGATCTTAGGGGAAAGGCTCCCAGTGCTTCCCCATTGAGAATGATATTTGCTGTGGGCTTTTCGTAGATGGCTTTTAAGATGTTGAGGAATGTTCCCTCTATCCCTACACTCTGAAGAGTTTTGATCAGGAATGGATGCTGTATTTTGTCAAATGCTTTCTCTGCATCTAATGAGAGGATCATATGGTTCTTGGTTTTTCTCTTGCTGATATAATGAATCACATTGATTGTTTTACAAGTGTTGAACCAAGGGCTGGGTTTTAAATTGGAGAAAGGGATCTGGGCTTTTCCACTTTCATAATGTCATTTTCTGAGACATTAAAGGCATTGTCCTGGGAGCTTATTACTGGATCTACTGCAAATATTGGGGTTGATTTGAAGGGCAGGTAGTCAGGTTTTCTGTGTACTTTGTTTCTTAAATTTCCTTTCTTTGCTGAAGACTAATGGCTATTTTTCAGCCAAGGCCAGTGGATGAAAACCCAGAAAAAGGGATACCTGGTGGCTCAGCAGTTGAGCGTCTGCCTTTGGCCCCGGGCGTGATCTCGGGATCTGGGATGGAGTCCCATATGAGGCTCCTTGCATGGAGACTGCTTCTCCCTCAGCCTATGTCTCTGCCTCCCTATCTTGCTGTGTCTCTCATGAATAAATAAATAAATTTTTTTTTAAAAAAAGAAAACCCAGAAAAGAAGAGGATGAGTATTGGCTGAGTGTGTGACACAGTGGATACACTGTGGATACACACAACTTGGATATAAGAATATTCTGGAAAATTAAAAATGTCAAACAAAGACAAGCTCTTACCTAACTATTTCTTCAAATCCAAAAAGCTCATTCATTTCATCTCAGTCCCAGAGTAGAAAGTCCCACTTTTCTGAGCCTCAGTTTTTCCTTGTATAAAATGGGAGTAACTTACCTACCTCATGGAGGGGAGTAGGAGAAAATGTTGGGGAAAGCATAGAACAAAGGTGGATTATTGATGTGGTGGTGATGATGATGATGATGGTGATATGATTTTTCAATTATCATTTTAAAATTCAAGGCAAAAATATAATTTTTATAAATCTGGCTCTATTTAAAATGCCCATATAAAAATTGAATATGTAAAGGAAAGCTGTGGCAAATATTCAAGGTAAGTATAACAATACCCTGCAAATAACAGCCAGCATGTAAACTGAAATACAAGGATGGCCAGCAGGAGGAGATAGACAATCACATTGGTATAACAGCCCATTTTATGGGCTCAGAGTGGACCTGACAGGTGCATTATGTATGGGCTGTAGGGTATCCACATGCTTGTTCTGGCTCTTGTTCCATATGCTCTGGAAATTCAAGGGATTAAGTATTTAAACAATAACTCTGACTTGAGGAGGCTGATGTTTAAATGGAATGGTTATCTCAGGCCCCACATTTCAAGGCTTTTCCTTACTAATTCCAGCCCTGGGGCCCTCCTCACTGTCTGCTTTCTTCAGTCCCCTTCCAGAATTCCTTTGTGCTTTCATAGTGCCCAGTACTTCTCCTTTATTACACTCCTTGACTCTTCTCTCAATCCCATATCCAGCCTACAGAACATCCCATTAGCTTGACCTCCAAAATATATCTGGAACCTGACCACATCTCACCATCTTTCTCAAGCCCCTAATTACCTCAGGTTCTTGCAAACTCCTCTTTGACTGGTTTCCTGATTCTGCCTCCATTCAGTGAGTCTGATGCAGACAGACTGGTGCTTTTTTTTTTTTTTTTACAATAATTCATATATTTATTCTTAAGCAAATTATCAATAAAAAATTAATACTAAAATGCCTTTACATTGAGTTTGCTGTTCATAAAAATTTTGTGGGTTTTTGTTGTTGTTGCTGTTTGTTTGTTTCTAGTGTTTACATTGAAAAAAAATCCAACCATCCTCTTAGTTTACACATTTACAATAGTCGTGCTTCGCCAGGTCTAACCGCCGGTTAGAGAGAGGGCCGCACCACCCACATGCACAGATGGAAGGGGGGTGCTTTTGAAACACAACACAGACAGAGTCCCTCCTGAGGCTAAAGCTCTCTAAAGGCTCCTTGGCGCAGTAAAGCAAAAGCCAAAATGGACTGTAAGCCCCTCGGGGTTCTCTGCATCCCCCATTCCACGTCTGTGTGCCTCAGTTTTTCCTTTCTCTCCTGGGTTCATTTGCTCCCACAACACCGGCCTCCTCCCTGATTGCCATTCCCCATTTGGTGCCTTGCGCGGGCTACTCCCTCTGCCTAGAACGCTTGCTCAATATCTGCACAGTAAGTTCTCTTCCCTCCTCATGTCTTGGCTTAAATGTCTCTCTTTCTGGCAGTCTTCCTTGACCAGCCTCTATACGCTGTATTCCTCCTTGCATCTGCCTCTTCTCTGCACATTTCGTTAAATTACATGGTGCTTCCTATGTGCTGGAGACTATCTTAAGCACTTCCAAAATATCCTGCTTACGTCTCACAACATTCCTCTGATGCGGGCCTTATTATTATTTGCATTTTATAGATGAGGGAAGTGAGGTACAGAAAACTTATGTGGCTTGACCAAAGTTCTAGAGCTCATGTAGGGGGGAGCCAGGCTGTACACTGCCTGGGCTGCCTCCCCTTGCACACCGCACCATGTGACAGAGTGTTTATGTATATGCTTATTTACTTTCTGTCTGCCTTCACTAGAATGTAAGCTGTAAGGAGTGCAGGGACTTTTGCCAGTTTTATTCATTGCTGTATTCCTAGGAAAGGGCTAGCATATTTTAAGTAAGTATTTGTTGAGTGAATTAATAAACTTATCATAAGTAAAATACATAATGAAAAGCGCACAAGGTCCATAAAGGCAGGGCGCGCAATAGGTGTCCTCAGATGAAATGGTGAATAGGTTCCAGCTTCCTTATCAGTAAACGAGGTAAGTGGCCTTTCAGGTCCTTCCCGCTGGCAAGCTGGCATTGTCTTTCATTATGTTTTCTTTCATTTAATGTTCAGGAAGAGAATCACTGATGATTTAACACAGAGAAGTCACACAATCTCAAAAATATGCTTCCATCAAAGGGCTGCTCTTGTCATGTTAGACAAGAGGAAGCAAATAAAGACCTTAGCACCCCGTAAGTTTTCATTACACAGAAACTGCATTAGGAGGACAGTTATTATCTCAGACCTTGAAGAGTAGGTGGGTCAAGGAGAGTCTTCAGTGCAGTCCCTGGGCTTCGTCCACAGTCACTCTGGCCCAGAGGCAGAGATTCTGCATAAGAAAGAAGCAGAGGCCAGCGGGGGTGTTGGAAGGGGGAAGGTGGGGTTAGTCTGGAAGGGTTTTCCAGGGACGCATACAGGGTGGGTCCCAGAGAGGAGGAGGAGGGACGTTGTTTCCTCATAGACCAGAGCAAAGTGCAGAACAGAGGGGAGTGGCAGCAAGTGAGGAGTTTGAAAAGATCAGGAAAAGGATAGCTACTCCAGCAACTGAAAAATTTTGTATTCTTGGAATTAGGGCCTAGTTCTGCATGCGGGACCATTGGATTGTTGCTTTCCACTCTAAAAGCACAGATGGAGCCTAACTCAGGTCAAAGCTGGGATGCAGAGATGAATTAGGTGTAGTCTTTACCTTAAAGAATTCACAGTCTAGAGGAGACAAATGCAATGATTCATTCATATTCATTCATTCATTCATTCATTCATTCAGCAAGCTTCCTTAAGCCCCACTGTCTATGGCTCTATGGCTCATGGTACTAAGACCTGCCTAAGCTCTCAGTGCACACATCCCAGACATTGCTTATAATAATGGTCTCTTTACATGTCTGCTCCTCCACTCTGGCTAGGCTTTTAGAAGGCCTCTGCCCTTTTCATTGCTCTAATTCCAATAACACAGTGCTATACAATAACATAGTTCAACTTATTGATTGAAACTGAAGCATAACCTATTAAATGCCAAAACAAAACCATAAAGGATGAAATAAAGCAGATCCTAAAATCAATACAAAGAATGGCAAATTAACCCAACTGTGTATACCTTGATAGCTCAACCATCCAGACAATGGGAGTTAATTCAAGACATGTTGTTTGTTTTTTTTTTTTAACATAATACCTTGACTGTGTATTATTAGTGAATTATATTCTGAGGGCATTAAAAATAACCACAAATAAGTCTTGAACTTTAATCAATAGATTTGTATGGACATACTTCATGTTTTGCAAGTTAGATCAAATGAGTCCATGGAACACATGTATAAAATGGGAGATGCTGAGGAAAACACCATGGTTTTGGATTTGAATTTGTGGGGGTCACTTTGAACCCATACATATCTGCAGATGCAAAAGTATTTAGCTACTTTGCTAGTTTTGCCATATTTATTTTAATTTCTCTGAGGTCATAATTCAACAAAATCTGTAGAATGCTTACTATATTCCAGACACCATACTGAGCACTTTACATGAAATATTTCATTTAATCCTCACCATTGTCACTGTGTGATATATATAACTCTTATTAGAAACATGAGAAGCTTGCCCACGGTAATGGCAAAGCCAAGTTTGGTCTGACCACAGAACTGTGCTTATAAACACAGAGATAAGTAAGACAATTCATATTTTAGCCCCATCTTAAAACACTGCTTTCAATTGTGACACTAAACTTGATCTTACTGCTAAAATAAATAACCCTTACAGGGGAACAAAAGACCCTTAGGAATCATCTAATTTGTTAATAAAAGCATTTGTGCTCAATTGGAATACAGCATATTTTTAAAGGGTCTCAGAGGCAAAACTGTGGGGTTTTAGATCTGGCTTTGCCAATCTGGCATGTGGCTTTGTTTAAGTACATTAGACCCTCTCGCATCTATGCTTCCTTTTTTTCTGAATTGAAGGCGCTGGAAGACACAAGGAGTCATAAACTCAAATGTCTTCAGGGGTTGACACAAATGAATAAAGTGGCCCAATGACCCAATGGTGTCAGTGACCTCTCAGCTCCAGGTATGTACCCCTGAGGTCACCAGACCTTCTACTTATCAAAAGAAGCCAGGAACATAAAAGCTTGCGTGAGTAAAAAATAAGGAAACAAAACAAAACAAAAACCCTAAAAAACCAAAACCAACTATATCAGTATGTGGTCCTTAGGCCAACATCTTGTAATTTTGCATCAGATGAACTCTGAAGTCCTTTCAAGGATACTTTGTTGAAAATGAAATGATCCCTTCAGGCCTGGAACAGATGTTTTGTGCCTTAAGTTGTGATGCTTAAAGCTGATTATCTCATTCATCTTCTTAAACTCTTCAAGGTTATGTTGGGAAAGTGGATGAGTCTTGGTACCTCTTTGAACCGCCTTCTGCTTACCTTTGGAATGAACAGGCTGAAGGTCTCTGAGAAAGGAAAAAAAAATTAGTATCCATTGAGAACATGCTGTATGTCAGGGACTTTTCGTGTATCATACCGTTTATATTAGTTGGGATTCTCCAGAGAAACAGAATCAGTATGATTTGTTTGTGTATACACACACACACACACACACACACACACACACACACATAAATGTTTATATATACACTCACATAGATTTTTTTTAACTTTTTTTTTTTAAGTATGCTCTAACAACTCAACATGGGGCTCAAACTCGTGACCCTGAGATCAAGAGTTGCATGCTCTACCAACTGAGCCAACAGAGCGCTCTGAAAGAGATATTTATTTTATGTAATTGGCTCATGCGATGGTGGAGGCTGACAAGTTTAAAGTCTGCACAATGGGTTAACAGGCTGGAGACCCAGGAATGGTAATAGTGCGGTTCAAGATTGAAGCTTATCGGGATCCCTGGGTGGCGCAGCGGTTTAGCGCCTGCCTTTGGCCCAGGGCACGATCCTGGAGACCCAGGATCGAATCCCATGTCAGGCTCCCAGGGCATGGAGCCTGCTTCTCCCTCTGCCTATGTCTCTGCCTCTCTCTCTCATTCTGTGTGACTATCATAAATAAAAAATAAAAAAAAAAAAGATTGAAGCTTATCTGCTAACAGAATTCCTCCTTGTTCAGGGGAGGTCCATTTTTGTTTTTTATTCAGGCCTCTAAATAGTTGGGTGAAGCCCACCCACACAAAGGATGATCTCCTTTACTCAAAGTCCACTGATTTAAATGTTAATCTCATCTGCAGAAAACACACTCTCAGAAACATCCAGAGTAATATTTGGTCAAATATCTGGGTACTGTGGCCCAACCAGGTTGACATATAAAATTAACTATCATACCACTTAATCCTCACAATGATCCTCCTAAGTAGACTACTGTTCCCATTTTACAAATGAGGAAACCGAAAATCTGAGAAATTAAATGACTTTTAGAAAAAACGATTAGGAGCAGAGCTAGCATTCAAACTCAAGTCTGTCTAACTCCAAAATTCATTTCTTCACTCAGTTTTATCATGATTCTAGATATTAATGCTACTATTTGAAAGGATTTGCTTTGGTAAGGTCCAAGTTTGTGATAGATTCCAGGATCAAGGGAGCTGACTGCAAAACCCAGAGCTCCAATCTGGATATACAGGGAGACACCCACAAGCGGATACTGTCAGCCAAGTTGTCTACATAGATTACATCATGGATGCTTCTTCTGTGGATTCAACAAGGCAGAAGCTAAATGAACCAGGGAATCGTTTTCCTACACCTGGACCCTTTTCAAGCTGTTTACATTCTATCCAAAAAATATTCACTGTGCATTTCCTGCATGCCAGGTATCTTGCCTGGAGGCTATGGATACAGAGATGCATGAGACACATCCTTGGCATCAGGTTGCTGTGTATCTAGTTAGGGAGTAAGGCAAACACAGTGCTATAAATGGAGCCCTCCAGGGAACCAGAGAAGGGAGATCTGGTACCCTGTATCTCTGACTCTGGGGTTCAGGCCTCTCTGGATTTTATTTCCTTGGAGCCTAGCACACTGCCTAGCATTTAGTAGGTGTTCGATAAATGCCCACTGAATGTCTGCATGGGTGAAGGAGTAAATGGAAATTTACTTATTCCCATGTTTGCACCCTTTGCTACATGGTTATCTCCTTAAGGGCAGGGGAAGGGGCTAAAAACATGGACTCACGACTTGGGTGATCTGACTCTAAAGTCCAGCCATTTCTCTTACTGGCTGTGGAATATGATCTCTCCATGGTTCAGTGTCTTTGACTATGAAATAGTGCTAATCATAGCACATGCTATGATACCACCGTGAGGATCACAGGAGTTAATGAACTGAAGATACTTAGTGGAGCACCTCGCATGGAGCAAATGCTCCAAAATATTACCTGTTTCATTGACATGGTCACCATTAATTTCTGTCTTTGGGATATAGCCCGACTCTGTAAGTAATTGTGGGTGATCAATAGTAACTGAATTAACTTATCTTGGGCTATTGGAGAAGGGGAAGGGTGGGCAAACCCTTCTTTTCTTTTCTTTTTTGGCAGCTTCATCTCATCTCTCTGCTGGATTTCCCTTAAAACCTCACTAGCTCTTGAAACCTTGGAGACCAGGACAGACTAATCCCTAAATTATTCAGACCTCAAGGTGAGTTGCCCATCCTCATGTGGATGAGGAATTAGGGCCTTCTTCGAAGCTTGAAGGGAAGAAGAGCAGGGCAGCCTTCCTCCCTGCTATTCAGGCACTCATTGCATCTCTAGCTGTTCGCTGGAAACACATTCCATTCAGACATCAGCCAAGTTAGCCCTCTTTGGAAAAGGCCAACTCTCTATAACTGATTCCTAGCCCTGCCAGTGGAGCCTTCAGGACTCTTCTAGATCTCTGGCTTCCCTCACTTTTCCACATACTATTTCTTCAGCAGTAGGAATATTTTCAACCCATAAGGAGAATGTGTCTGATGCTTTAGGTATCTCTGTGAGGAGGCAGATAAGTGGACATTGCCTTGAGGATTGAGTTAGCATGGAAATAACTTGCTCTTTGGCCTTGGGCAAGTTGCTTCACCTTTCTGGGCTTCAATTTTCTTGTGCTTTTAAGTGAGAGAGCTGGACAAGGTAATTTCTAAGATCATTCTTGCTCTAAGTTCTATGATCATCAAATCATCGTGTCAGTAAGTGGCCACCAGCAAATATGTGTGGAAAGGATTTTGGGAGATCAGTCTAGCAGTGGCTTATAGAACAGACTGGGGATCTAGCAGACCCTGCAAAGGAGGGAACCATGTAGATCCCCATTAGATTCAAGGAATGTGACCTCTCCTTGTGTTCACAACTAGAGGGACCAAAGTATTCAGTGCCTCCCCTTCCCTATCATATGCCATCTGATACCCAGCTAGCTTCCAGTGATTCATAGCAAGGATTCCCACAATTCCTAATGAGGGCAACCTCACATAAGCCATTCTCTAATGAATATTCTGTGATTTCCTTGAAAATGATAAATATGGGGTAGCCCGAGTGCCTCAGCGGTTTAGCTCTGCCTTCTCTCTGTCATGAATAAATAAAATCTAAAAAAAAAAATGATGAATATGGCTAATTCTCAGAAGTCCTTGCTATACTTTTGTTTGTTCCAGACCAGAGGAAGTTGGGAACATTTTTAGAGGGATCAACTCTCCTGGCTTCTCACTTAGTTACACCATGTTCAATTAGACCATGCAGTGCCACTCTGGATGTGATGTGGCATGGAATCATCATAATAGCCAGACTTCTAATTTGGAAGACATCGACTTATCTTTACATTTCACCTTTATCTTGGCTTGGCAGAAATTCATTAATAATGGGAAAAGATTACAAAAAAAAGTTTGCATTTCAATTAACCTTCAAGTATCCTTGTTTGAATTCAGTCAAAAGTTTTTGCCAGAGAGATGCAATAAAATATATTTGAGCCAAGGGTGATGGGGGAAAGCAAAACAAATATATTTTGGAAGAAGGAATAATATTCTAAAATATTTTGCTTTAGAGTAGCAATTATTGAATTTTCTCTCTGAAAATTGTAGTCAGTTAAGAATATATTCTAAATAGATACGTAACAAAGAAAAATTAATGAATATAATCTTTGGATGACAGATTCCAGATTGGACTGATAAAAAATGTCAGAGCATTTAGGGTTTGGTCCTAGATTCTCAAGTGCAAGGCCTAACTTCCTTGATGTCTATGGTGTCTTTGTCAAAAACTCAATGATGGGAAATATTTATGGTTGTTTTGTCACATTATTTATCTGAAGTCAATGGGAAACACCTAAGAGTTCCCTTTTCCTTTCAACTTCAAAATGCAAGTGATTCAGAAAACACTCAGGTTATTTATTTCTTTTTTTTTAACATTTTTTTAAATTTCTTTTAATTTTTTTATTTATTTATGATAGTCACAGAGAGAGAAAGAGAGAGAGGCAGAGACATAGGCAGAGGGAGAAGCAGGCTCCATGCACCGGGAGCCCGACGTGGGACTCGATCCCGGGTCTCCAGGATTGCGCCCTGGGCCAAAGGCAGGCGCCAAACCGCTGTGCCACCCAGGGACCCCAGGTTATTTATTTCTTAATGACAACTACATTTTGGAAGGTAGAAAACAGCTGCAATTGAGTGGACTTAGTAAATTGAAAAAGCTAAATTTAAGCTAGCACAGGGGGAAGTCAAAATAATTCAATTTTATCCTGCTTGTTATGGGTTGATTTATATTCCCCCACAAAATCATACATTGAAGACCTAATGTCCAGTACCTCATAATGAGACTGTATTTGGAAACAGGGCCTCTAAAGATGTGATTAAGTTAAAGTCATTAGGGTAGGCCTTAATCCAATATGATCGATGTCCTTATAAGAAGAGACTAGGACACACAGCTGCACAGAGGGATGACCATATGAAGACACAGGGAGAAGATGCCATTTATAAGCCAAGGCAAGAAGCTTCAGAAGGGACCAACCCTACTGACACTTTGATTTTGGCCTCTTGGCCTCCTAAATTGTGAGAAAAGACATTTTTGTCATTTAAGCCTCCCCTGGCTGTGGTATGTTGTTGTGGCAACCCAAGCAAACTATACACATCACCAATCCCTCAGAAAGAATTAATTAGATACCTCTGGAAACTAAAGGAGAGGGGTGTGTCAGACCAGAGGATTCCTTAGTCTGTATAAGAAATATTTGAAATTCTCATATTCTCCTCTGCCCCTTGGGTGATGATCGGAGGTTTATTTTCTAGAGAGGATCTTAGAGGATGTGGCAATGGTCGCATGCAAAAGCGGTGGTAAATACAAAAACAAAAGGAAGTGTCAGGTGGAATTCTGAATGCAGAGACGTTGCTCCCACTCTTCTTTTTCCACTTAATCTTTACAAAATTGAAGTGTGGCTTTGCCATTCAGAAGAGATTTGAGGAATCTCCTCTAGTAATTTTGACCAGCCCATGACATCAGAGGTTTCCTCAATGAAATAGGC